TGCTTCAAGGTCAGGAGTTCGAAACCAGCCTGAGCGAAGACCCTTCTCTACAAATGAAATCAATTAATTGACCAAACTAAAATATATAACAAAAAATTAGCCGGGATGCGCTGTGCGGCATGCCTGTAGTCCCAGCTACTCGGGAGGCTGAGGCAGTAGGATCGCTGAGCCCTGGAGATTGAGGTTGCTGTGAGCCAGGCTGACGCCACGGCACTCACTCTAGCCTGGGCAACAAAGTGAGACTCTGTCTCAAAAAAAAAAAAAAAAAAAAAGTAGTAGGACAAACTTTCAGTATAAGATGAATAAATTCTGGGGATCTAAAATAAAAATAAAATAAAAGGTAGAGTAAAAATACAGCATTCTAATCCTATAAGACCACTGTCATATATTCAGTCTATCATTGACCAAAACCTCATTATGCTGCACATGACTGTACCTCAATTTGTTGATCCATTCATCAGTGGATACACATTTGGGTTGTTTCTACTTTCTAAAAAGTGGAAACGGGCTGAGCGCGGTGGCTCACGCCTGTAATCCTAGCACTCTGGGAGGCCGAGGCGGGCAGATTGCTCAAGTTCAGGAGTTCAAACATCACGCCTGAGCGAGACCTGGCCGTCGTCTACCATAAAACATAGAAAGAAATTAATTGGCCAACTAATTATCGTAATATAAAAATCAGCCGGCGCATGGGCCTCTGCGCTTGTAGTTCCCAGCTACTCGGAAGGCTGAGCAGGAGGATTGCTTGAGCCCAGGAGTTTGAGGTTGCTGTGAGCTAGGCTGACGCCATGGCACTCACTCTGGCCTAGGCAAGAAAGCGAGACTCTGTCTCAAAAAAAAAAAAAAAAAAAAAAAAAGTGGAAACGGTCATCATATTATGAAGAATGCTGCTATGTACATTCATGTACAAGTTTTTGTGTGGACATACATTTTCACTCCTCTTGGGTATACACCTAGGATGGGAATTGCAGGGTCATATAGTACCTCTGTGTTTAAATGTTTTAAGCAATTGCCAAACTATTTTCCACAGCAGCTACACCATTTTGCATTCCCACCAGCAGTGTATTAGGGTTCCGATTTCTTCACATCTTCATCAATGTTGTTATTGTCCATTGTGTTTTCAGTATGCACAGCCTGGTGGCTGTGCAGTGGTTCCTGGGACTGATTACTTCTGTTTCTGCTCTAACACTGGGGTCCACATGGCAACAGTACAGTCACACATTGCTCTAAAGAAATGTAAGGGGATCTATTCTATGGACAAATTCAGGAGCTGGTTTACATTAGTTTAATCTTTCAAGCACTGGGATGATGTTTCCTAGTGGCTGCAGCCGGCCCTGTACATCCAGGCACGTGGTGAACAGAATCTCTGCTGTCCCTGTAGCAACAACAGAGCCCATGAATGTAGACTAAGTCTGAGAGTACAGGGGAGTCAGGGTGGATGAAGGCTGAAGGCAGGCACATGGAGGACAGGAGGGTCCCCAGGACTACTGGAAAGCCACCAAACAAAGGTCGTGTGTCCCCTGTCTTCTCTGCTTCCTGCTGCCCCTCCCTTGTTTGGGGAGCAGACTGGCTGTCTCTGCTCACCACGCATGGCAGAATGTGGCTGCCCGCAGCAGCCCAAATAATCTGTTATGTTCCCACCCATTTGGGGAATCAGTCAGCCACATGCTTGTCATTTATAATACACTTTTTGAAACTACACAAATACTCTCAGATCAGGCCTCCTTCTTCCCAGAAGAGAAACACTGGGCCTTGTTAACTTACTAAAGATGCTTCTAACTCGAGTCTTCAGAAACTTCATGCTGCTATCACTCAAACCTTTTTCTGGAATACTTTAATAAACTTCACAAAGTTGCACAAAAGTTTTCATCCTTCAGATTAATAGACAAATCTTGACCTTTCTCTATGGGGTACAAGTCCATTGGATTGTGTGCTTAATCCACAGAGTAAGAGCTGATGGCATCTCACGTTTCTGGGCAGCCTCAACAGGCAAAGATGCTTATAACTGAGCGATGCAAGCAGGACCCCGTGTCCGGTAGGGATTACCCAAAGGGAACTTTCTACAAAGTCTTGGGTGATGGCCGTGTCACACAAAATGCTATGAACCTCTCTCCGATATTGAAAACAACTACAGTATTGTCATAAAGTTTACCTTTTATCACTAAACTTTTCTCATAACATTAGTGCCCCTACCACTTACACATTTGAAGTGAAAGTTACTTCTATGTAATACACAAACCAACACAAGTTACCCTATCCCAGTTTCTTGGGTGGACGGGAAAGATCCTGGGCAGGATTTATTGTGCAATCACTCTCATCTCTCTTCTCTAGGCCAGGATTTAAATTTGCCTCCACAATGGAAGATGTTAACTGGGAGGACTTCAACCTTGAAGATTTCTTCGATGGAGATTTCAGTAATTACAGTTACAGCACTGACCTGCCCAATATTCTACCAGATTCTGCCCCATGCCGGCCAGAATCCCTGGAAATCAACAAGCATGCTGTCGTCGTCATCTCTGCCCTGGTGTTCCTGCTGAGCCTGCTGGGAAACTCCCTGGTGATGCTGGTCATCTTGTACAGCCGCGTCGGCCGCTCTGTCACCGACGTCTACCTGCTGAACCTGGCCATGGCCGACCTGCTCTTCGCCCTGACCTTGCCCATCTGGGCCGCCTCCAAGGTGAACGGCTGGATTTTTGGCACAGCCCCGTGCAAGCTGGTGTCGCTCCTGAAGGAAGTCAACTTCTACAGTGGAATTCTCCTGCTGGCCTGCATCAGCGTGGACCGCTACATGGCCATTGTCCACGCCACACGCGCTCTCACCCAGAAGCGCCACTTGGTCAAGTTCATATGTCTGGGCATGTGGGCCCTGTCCCTGTGCTTATCCCTCCCCGTCATAATTTTCCGAAAGGCCATGTACCCGCCCTCCTCCGGCCCAGTCTGCTATGAGGACATGGGCAACAGCACAACCACGTGGCGGATGGTGCTTCGGATCCTGCCCCAGACCTTCGGCTTTGTCCTGCCCCTGCTGGTCATGCTGTTCTGCTACGGATTCACCCTGCGCACGCTGCTTAAGGCCCACATGGGGCAGAAGCACCGGGCCATGCGGGTCATCTTTGCTGTGGTCCTCGTCTTCCTGCTCTGCTGGCTGCCCTACCACCTGGTCCTGCTGGCAGACACCCTCATGAGGACCCATGTGATCTCGGAGACCTGTGAGCGCCGCCACAACATTGACCGGGCCCTGGATGCCACCGAGATTCTGGGCTTCTTCCACAGCTGCCTCAACCCCGTCATCTACGCTTTCATTGGCCAAAAGTTTCGCCATGGACTCCTCAAGATCCTGGCCACCCATGGCCTGATCAGCAAGGAGCTCTTGCCCAAGGACAGCAGGCCTTCCTTTGCTGGCTCTTCCTCAGGAAACACGTCCACTACCCTCTGACACTCCTGCCTCAGTGCGGCCCCTCGGGGTTCCGCCCTCCCCCTCAGTGTCCCATTCCAAGCCCCAAATCCACAGGCTATTCATGGTGTAAGTGTCACTGCAGCCCCTATTGTGGTTACAGGAAGGGGCAGAGGCCACGTCCTTGCCAGGCCCCTACTGTGTGGTTTGGGAAGTCTGCCCTGGTGCCCACTTCTTGCCATTATCACTGGGCCAGTGCTAGAGCTCTGTCCATCCTGCCACTGGCCACAGCACTCTGCTTTCTAAGAAGTGCCCATCAAAGCCACAGTGAGAAGCCACGTCACATTCATTAGGATGGCTCTTATCAAAAGAGAAAAAAATACATGAAATAGCAAGTGTAGAGAAATGAAACTCTTGTCCATAGCTAGTAGGAATGTAAAATGATGCAGTCACTGTGGGAAACAGTATGGCAACTTTCCTCAAAACATTTATTGTAGAATTACCACATGATTCAGCAATTCCACTGGGACTATACCCACAAGAATTTAAAGCAAGGACTGGAACAGATATTTGTATACCCATGTTCATAGCACTATTATTTACAAGAGCCAAAAGGTGCAGATAACTCAAATGTTCATCAATGAATGAATGGATAAACAAAATATGGTATATACACACAATGATATATCATTCAAGAAAAATGAGGATATGAACAATATGCCCAGAAGATTGAGGCAGAGATTGAGTTGCACTTCTGGGAACTCTGTTATATTTATCCCTATCTCTTCTAATCTCCATCTTTCCATCTCTCTCTCTTAAAAAGGAATGAATTACTGATGCATGTTACAACGTGGATGAACCTTCAAAATATTATTCTAAGTGAAATGAACCAGACATAAATGGAAAAATGTTGTATGATTCTGCTCATAAGAAGTACTTAGAACAGTCAAATTCACAGAGACAGAAAGTGGAATTGTGTTTCCCAGGGTTGGGGTCAGTGAAGAATGGGGAATTATTGTTAAAAGGGTACAGAGTTTATGTTTTGGATGATGAAAATGTTCTGCATATGAACAGTTGTGATAGCTATACAACATGGTAAAAGTACTTAGTGGTCCTAAACCATACAATTAAAAATCATTAACTTGGTAAAGTTTGTAATATAGATTTTTTACCTCAATTAAAAAAAAACCTGGGCCTCAAAAGGGACTTTAACCACTGAAGCAATGCAAAAACCAACTGCCTATAATTTCATGTTAAGTGAGATCATTAAATACCATTTTTTATAAAAGCCACATTTAGTTGGGTGTTTATTTTAACTATTAAATACTTCCAACCAAAAGCATCCAATCTGCTACAGAGAAGTGGGGAAGGGTGAGCAGAGGGCCCGGGTGAGGGGCTTTGCAGGAAGTAGCCCCTCTGCTATGTGCTGTGTCCATAGAGAAGGGTTGGAACAGAGATGGGGACCAGCCTGCCCACCCCAGCCCCAGCCCACGCCTCCTGCTGTGGACCAGCTGTCATGCAGAGATGTGTTCTGGGATCCTTTCATGTCTGTGGGTGAGATAGTTGTCAGCAGTGTCAAGGGTGTGACACAAAAGGCACAGAGCATTCAGTGAATCCACCAAGTCAGCCTGATAAGGCTGCAGGAGGGCAGAGAGCTCTCCAGACCCAGCAACTCCCACCATGGTCTTCCTCCCTCTCTCCTCCCCCACCCAAGCACACACTCCCCCTCCATTCAGGGTTGGATGAGAGCGCCCAAGTGCAGGTGGGGACATGGTTTATAGTCTGTCATTCTGAGAAAACATAGGATTAGGATTATGCCTGCAACAAACATAGGATTAGGATTATGCCTACAACAACATTTATTGCCTGCCGACTGTTACGGGGGTTGGGATGTAGCAGCCACCGCAACAGACAGGAGCTCACCTGCCCAGGGCTTGTCCTGCAGGGGCTCTGTCCGGAGGGGCTCTGAGCAACCTGCAGAGGAAGAAAGCGAGAGTCACTGAGCTTCCACAGTGACCAAACGTCCCCCTTCAGGCTGACAATCGCCTGCCACTAGATCTAGCCCTAGCAGGGAGGCAAGAGCAAAGCTGCTCTGAGGGCCCGAGGACAGGGAACGTCACTCCTAGGCCAGAGAGTGCATTTCCTGTCACATCAGCAGACAGGATCTATCCAGCACCCACACGCCCTGTGTCCTGCCCACTCCGTGCTGGGCACTGTGCTGAAGTCGGGATCACGTGTGACTCAGCTGCTCTGGCCGGGCCTTCGGAACAGCTTGTGAGTCAGCAGAAGGGACATGCAGGGGAAGGTGTGTTTAGCGAACGCCCGAGTTGCTGGAGGACCGCGGTGTCCTGCACGGCCAGGGCGGATGAACCACATGCCTCCCTGAGATCACGCCCAGAGGGAGGAGGCCTGAGCCTCCCTTTGGTTCAGGTCTCTGCTCTTTCCTCCTCCTTCAAGGGCTGGAGGACACATGGTTCTCCAAGAAAAATAGGAGGACGTGGACGGAAAGCTGAGAAGAAATGAGGCACAGATGAATTGCACTGATGGGAACTCTTAATATTCATCCCTGTGTTTTGTCTCTCTCTCTCTCTGTCTCTCTCTCTCTCTCTCTCCCTTGCTATCTTAAGAACAGTCTTGGCAAAAGCAATTTCCCAGCCAAGCCATCACTAGGAAAGGAAATCCAGGGCCTGCCTTTGAGAGGCTGATGTCTATCCTCTGCTGTTTCCTGGCCTGAGTCTCAGGGTCCAGCAGCGCCCTCCCGGGATCTGCTGCCCCGCCTGCCCCGGCCTTTCTTGCTCCCAGAGCTGCATTCCTCGCTCATGTTACAGCCACCTGTCCACTTCGCAATCTGTCCCCCTGAATTGGTGACATTTTTCTCCACCACCATCCCCAGTCTTTGCAGGATGGGCTTCCTTATTCCTGTAATCGAGGTGGCCTCCAGTCTAGTTTGGGTGACACTACGGAGTTCCCCCAGTCTACAAGTCACATTCACATCACTGTGTGTGACCCAGGGACAACCGCACTGCCAGGTAATAGCAGAGGCCAAGAGGCCTAAAGCTCCCAGGACAACTCTGCAAGACACACGCGAGGACGCCGAGGCCATGAGGAAAGCAACCTGGCCGCAGTCTCATGGCGGGACAGGAGTAGAGCAAGAATTAAAAATTCGGCCAGGCGCGGTGGCTCACGCCTGTAATCCTATCACTTTGGGAGGCCAAGGCAGGAGGATTGCTTGAGCTCTGGAGTTCGAGACCAGCCTGAGCAAAAGCCAGACCTTATCTACTATAAATAGAAATAAATTAGCCAAATAACTAAAAATAGAAAAAATTAGCCCGGGCATGGTGGCGCATACCTGTAGTCCCAACTACTCAGGAGGCTGAGGCAGTAGGATTGCTTGAGCCCAGGAGTTTGAGGTTGCTGTGAGCTAGGCTGACGCCATGGCACTCTAGCCCGGGCAACAGAGTGAGACTCTGTCTCAAAAAAAGAAAAGAAAAGAATTAAAAATTCTAGTTCAGTTCATTCTTTGCCATATATTTTGCTTTTCGAATGGTGACTTTTCAGGCATGTGACTGATAGATGGGAAATTATACATGCGACCCTCACAGAGGGCTGCATTCACACAATAGGCCCCGTCTGCTTTCTCTGCACCTGGACACATCTGTGCCTGGAGCTGGGGTCGCTGGAGTCCCGGTCACGCTGGCAGAGGCGAGGCCCAGCTGGGGCTCAGGGCACAGGTGTGGCTCACTGGGTTCCCCTCCTCTGAGCTGGCAGGTGGGACAGTTAAAGGGACAGTCACAGCCCAACACAAAAATGCAAAGTCAGGCACATCCAGCCCCTCTATCGAGGGCTCCTGCTGTGTCAGGCAGGGCTCCATCTGCAGCAGAGCCACTGGGAGGGGAGTGTGTGACGGGGACGGGACCCTACACAGCTGGGGGGCAGGTGACACGTCTGTGTCAGGCTGTGGCTTTGCTTCTGCGACTGGGATCTGAAGCTGGCAGGACAGACGGCCAGGAAGAAAACACAGACGGGAAGTGAGGAACAGTGAGGACAAGCTGGAACCTACAGGACAGACAGACACCTGCGCTGGTTCAAGTCCAATGTGTGGACCACGTTCACCAGGTGGGCCCACCCTGAGGGGCTGCGGGCCGGCCCCTGCCCACGCCAGCGAGAGGAGCCGCAGATGAGCCACAGCGGGCTGGGTGGTGCCTGCGCTCCCTGCCAGCCTCGGACAGACCCCGGTGCTGCTCCTCTTCCACCCGCCAGGTCCATGTGAACCGGCCCTTCTGGCCCACACTGACCTGGAAATGTGACAGGAAGAGAATTTGGAGAAACATAGTTCCATCTTAGCTAAGGTGACTTAATACAAATCCTCCACACAAACATGGGTGCAAACTTTAAGAAAAAGGACTGACTGATTTCCGCCAAGGTTCGGATGGTCTTTGTTGAACAGTGGGGGCAGGAAGGGAGCTGCACTCAGTCAGGGAGGAGCACACTGTGGTTTTTGAGGGCATGAAAATGTCCTCTTTCTTAACCTACATGATGGATGACTGGGAGTCACTGTATTACTCTTCATTAGGCTATAAACGGAGGTTTTCTGTAGTATATAGCATGTATGCTATTTGAAATGAAAACATTTTTAACCGCTAAAATATAGGGGAAAAATTAAAGAGAAACTGATCAGAAGGACAAAGGGACAACTCGGGTCATTCTGAGGCACCACTTCAGGAAGTCTAATTGTGACCCTATAGTTTAGGGTAACAACTCACCATATTAAAAGAAGATGGTATCACCCACTGCTGGGAGGAGAGCAAATAGGCACAGCCTCTAGAGAAGCGTTTGGTGCTGTCTACTGCAATGCACACCTCTAATCCAGCACTCCCCTTTTACAAAGCTACCCTACAGAAATGCCCACCTCGGCAGAAAGTGTACACAGGATATTCATCATAGCATTATGTATAAAAGTCAAAGCTTAGAATCAACCTAAATCTTCGACAATAGGGAATTGGTGAATATATTATGAAAGTATATCCACACTACAAAATGCATTGAATGCAGTGGTTTCAAAATAATGTTAAAAATATTATGCTATGTAGAAGAAGCCAGCAAAGAAGACTACATCTTGTATGATTCCATTGTCATAAAACATTTCTAGAAAAGCACAAATCCATAGAAACAGAAAGCAAATGAGTGGTTGCCTGGGGCTGGGGGTGGAAACCAGGACTGACTGCAAAAGACACAAGGGTTCTTTGGGGTAATAAAAATATTCTAAATCTGCATTATGGCAATGGTTGCACAACCCCATAAATTTACTAAAAATCATTGGATTGCATACTTAATACAGATTGTGAATCTTACAGTAGGTAAATGATACCTCA